GACCACAGCCCTGCTGCTATGGCCATTTAATCCTGGGCGGGTCAGACCACGACGCTGCTGTGACTTTTCTTGTAGGATGGGCTCCAGGTGTGCCAGGAAAACTTGAGCGGCATGTCCGTCTTCTTCAGGTATTTTGTGGGCATGTTGTGCGGGGTTGCCCGCTCAATGCTGTGGAGTGCCCAATGCGATTTGGGTATCCACTCGGTGGCTTCCAACCCGTGGTCCACGCACCCTTCACTCACCCACCATTGCACAATGGATTTGATATCCTCCACCCTCTCAATCTTGTGGGTGTCCACGAGGAACGCCATGTCCGGGTCTGAAAGTGGAAGGCCCGTGATTTCCACAATCAAATTTGGACAGTGGCAGTCGTTCTCCGAGCCGCCGCGCGTGGTGTAGCACACCATGAATCCCGGGGTGAAGTCTTTAGGATGACCAACCGGGGTAAGACCACCAGGATATTCTGATCGGTCCCATTGCTGCTGAAGATACTTCACTTCAACATTGGAACTGTCCCCCGGGATCACTGTGGCGCCGTGTTTGGAACCCACCAGGCTCCAGCTTCTGTTCGAGCTTGCGTCATCATCATGTGCCATCATCAATGCCGGCATTTGAGACTGACCGTTTACTGAGTACGCAGACATGGCGAAACGCGGCAGTCACAAATTTGACCTGAAACAGTTTGAGCCTTTGCAGCTACTGCTGTCACAAAAAACACTACCATCAGATCATGGACGTTTTAAACATGCATATGACCCTGCAATGTTGAAATTACCCAAATACACACATGAATCACATGAATCAAAAAGTTTATCCATCAACTCATGAATCAAAGACATCTCCTTGTCACTTAGGTTGCGGTTCCCTCACCACCCACGCACACGCAAACACACGCACACACACACACACACACGCACGCACACGCACACCACATTCCTTTTTTTTGGCCAAGAGATCAGAGGGTCACGGCTCCAAAAATGCTGTTTCTGTTGAGCAGCGAAATTTGACACGAAAAGGGCAAAGGCGCTGGTCACAGCAACAATTAGACCTCGTATCTGAATCTCACAGGGTCCAATCGAGCAAAGCATCAAATCAAAACATCACCTCAGTTGACCAGAGGTAAGACCATCAGGGTCTTGGTGATATGTCTTGCTCAGCTGTCCGGATTTCACGTTCAAAATTCACCAAGACCCGTTCTCAGAAGATTCTTCTTGTTTTTTGTTTTTTGTTTTTTGTTCTTTTTTTTTGTTCTTACGTGTCTGCATGCATGTGATCTGACTATGCATGTGACTGACGTCTATGCTACTTGACTCCCTGCGGTCCTGATCCGGAAGAGTTTCCTTCTCACCTTTCTTCGGCGGCATTCTTGGGAAACAGTCATTTTTATAACGCACCTTTTGTTATCCTACACTGTTCGGTTGATTTTTTTTTGGCCGCTTATAAACGGTCCCATTTTTTTCCACTGTTTTGCTCCGATTTTTTTGGCCACAGTCATTTTTATAAGGCGCATTTTTTAATCTTACACTGTTTTGCTCCGATTTTTTCGCCGCAGTCATTTTTATAAGGCGCATTTTTTTCAATTGCTTTGCTCCGATTTTTTGGCAACAATCATTTTTTTAAGGCGCATTTTTTTAATCTTAATTACACTGTTTGGCTCAGATGTTTTTCGCCACAGTCATTTTTCAAAGGTGCCACTTTTTATCTTCAACTGTTTGGTTCCGATTTTTTTGGCCACTGTCATTTTTACAGGGCGCATTTTTTTTTTTACCTATGCTGTTTGGTTCAGATTTTTTTGGGCACAGTCATTTTTATAAGTTGCCATTTTTTGCAACTGATTTGTTCCGATTTTTTTTTGGCAACAGTCATTTTTATACGGATTTTTTTTTAATCGTACACTGTTTGGTTCAGATTTTTTTGGCCCCAGTCATTTTTATAAGGTGCATTTTTTTTCAACTGCTTTGCTCCGATTTTTTTGGCAACAGTCATTTTTATAAGGCACTTTTTTTTTTGTACTACACTGTTTGGTTTATTTTTTTTTGGCCGCTTTCATTTTTATAAGGTCCCTTTTTTTTCAACTGTTTCGCTCCGATTTGTTTGGCCACAGTCATTTTTATAAGGCGCATTTTTTTATCTTGCACTGTTTGGCTCAGATTTTTTTCGCCGCAACCATTTTTATAAGGTGCCAATTTTTATTGTCAACTGTTTTGCTCCGATTTTTTTTGGCAACAGACATTTTTATAAGGCACATTTTTTTTGATCCTACGCTGTTTGGTTCAGAATTTTTTTGGGCACAGTCATTTGTATAAGGTGCCATTTTTTGCAACTGATTTGCTCCGATTTTTGTTGGCAACAGTCATTTTTATAAGGCGCATTTTTTTATCCTACGCTGTTTGGTTCAATTTTTTTTTGGCACAGTCATTTTCATAAGGTGCCATTTTTTTCAACTGCTTTGCTCCGATTTTTTTGGCAACAGTCATTTTTTTAAGGCGCATTTTTTTTATCCTACGCTGTTTGGCTCAGATTTTTTGGGCCGCAGTCATTTTTATAAGGTGAATTTTTTGTTCAACTGTTTTGCTCCGATTTTTTTCGCAGCAATCATTTTTATAAGGTGTGTTTGGTTATCCTTAGGTTGGCTCAGATTTTTTTCGCCACAGTCATTTTTAAAAGGTGCCATTTTTTTCAACTGTTTTGCTCCGATTTTTTTGGCAACAGTCATTTATAGATTGCTTGTTTTTTATCTTACGTTTTTAGGGTGCCATTTTTTCTTCAACTGTTTTGCTCCGATTTTTTTTGGCCACTGTCTTTTTTATAAGGTGCATTTTTTTTCCTTACGCTGTTTGGCTCAGATTTTTTTGGCACCGCCCAAGTTCAAGATGACCTAAGGTGCTTTTAAAAGGCTGCGCGTGCCACTGCCCTCTCAAATACTGCGCGCCTACTACTGCCCATAGTTAGATACCAGAAACAGAAATCACCTAACTCACCGGGACCGGGACGAAAACATGTGACTAGGGTACAGCGGTACCAACGCTCAATGCGTAAGGGAACCATAAATTTATGGCTCCCTTTCGCGCCCTCGGACCGGTCTGGCAATGCGTAAGGGAGCCATAAATTTACGCGCCCAACGCTCTAACGCTCTTTCGCGGCCCCGGACCGGTCTGGCAATGCGTAAGGGAGCCATAAAGTTGGGCATATGAATTAACGTCGCTCAATTTTCGATTTTTTATTGTTGTAGTTACCATGTTGACTGAACTTTTACCCTCTTTCGCGGCCCCGGACCGGTCTGGCAATGCGTAAGGGAGCCATAAAGTTGGGCATATGAATTAACGTCGCTCAATTTTCGATTTTTTTTGTTGTAGTTACCATGTTTGTTGACTGAACTTTTACCTTCTTTCGCGGCCCCGGACCGGTCTGGCAATGCGTAAAGGAACCATAAAGTTTGGCATATGAATTAACGTCGCTCAATTTTCGTTTTTTTTGTTGTAGTTACCATGTTTGTTGACTGAACTTTTACCCTCTTTCGCGGCCCCGGACCGGTCTGGCAATGCGTAAGGGAGCCATAAAGGTGGGCATATGAATTAACGTCGCTCAATTTTCGATTTTTTATTGTTGTAGTTACCATGTTGACTGAACTTTGACTGAACTTATGCAAAATTAAAAACATGGAAACAGTCTCGTGCCCTTTTACCCCACCTCAGTCAGCAATGTGTCAAATAGCATTAATTTCAGATTTAATTATGGCAGCTGGTGGTAACGGAGACGTATGCGCCAAATTTCAAATTCAAAATTTTCAAGAGCATCACTTTGAAGCTCTTGAAGAAGCCTTAGTTTCCGTCCGCTTTGGCAGCTGCAGCTCGTACGTCTGCAGGTCTCCATGGCAATCCAGGCCGTTTTGTCAGCGCGCACTTTTCCCCGTGCGCAGTCCCTTCAAAATTTTGTCCCACTGTTCTTTTGGTGGTCCTACCTGTGACTCTGACTCGCATTGAGATGATTTTGATGCTGAAGGCGCTTGATCAATCCAATGCATCAACGCTCGTTGATGACATCTGGTTTTTGCATGTTGCTGCACATGCGTCTTCCTTCTTTTAAACAACATCACTGGAATTTGAAAAGAACCCCATGAGATGGACAGCAGACTCTTTTTTGTCTGCTTGCTTGATTTTTCTGCTGTCGTCGAGGTAAGACCATCGGGCGATACTGATATTTTTCTGAATTTCGGAAATGATTGCAAAGCACACAACCCCAACGAACTTTCCATTTCTTGTCAGCTGAAGTCTGCATACGGGCGCATGCCAACCAGGGTCTTTTTTTTTGACTGCCCGGAGGAAACAACGTTGTTTTTGGACACTCGGGGCCCTTCTGCGCCCAGAAACAAAAAGAACATTTTCTTTTCTTGCAATGGCCAAAATGTTTTTCCAAGGATCGTGGCGACAGAAGATGAAGGCCTTGGTCAATATTGAGTTTCGGCATTCAGCTTGGCATCAATCTGATCCCCGAGACGATGTTACTACAACCCCAGTAAACATCGGCTATGCCTCGTATTTGATTGAGCCGAAAATTTCTGCACATTTACATATGTTTGTCATGGCCATGACCGACTGGGGTATTGACCGTATAGTGCATAATATGATATCAATATCTTGTATTTCACCAACTATACTTTCAAAGACGATTCTTATCATTATTTTCAGCCCTCTATAGACATCAATCACATGCGACATGGACGGCAGATTGACAAAGTAACACGTGTCAAAGAACGAATCATAACAAATAATATTGACCAAAAATGGAAAACAATCAAAACAATCAACAGAAATAAGTCTCTGCCAAGTCCAACCTGGAATCACCGCCCCAGCCAAATCATTTGATTCGAAGCTGTCTTTGGCCTATCGGACTGGTCATTGCCAATCAAAAGGAGGCCAGCAGCCACTGTGGGCGGCGCCTGCACGAACAGAAGGGTAAGACCACTATGCTGTCAAGTGCAGGGTAAGACCACTAGCCACTCATAAGTTTTCTGGCCGTTCGCGCCACACGCTAAGCGCGCAGCCGAATGCGTCTTGAACCATTGTTGCCTCTCTGGGAGGCAGCCTCTCGTGGCGACACAAGTTGCATCGTCCACATTTTCGATCCGACCAGTGCCCAGCCAACTCGGTCAAGCAAATCACATCATTCGATGCGCAGGTGACCAGTGTCTGCTGACTGAGGACATGTTGCAGCAGGTAAGCGAATGCAACACTGCGGTGGTTGCCGCCACGGCAATAAGCAACCACTGTCACCCCTGGAGAAGCCTTGGGGTCCAACGCAAACCGGGACAAGATGTACCGTCGAACCCTGTGCAGCTCACGTTTGAATACCTCCCCTCGCGCAAAGTTCTTCAGGTTCACCGGGAATGTTCCTACGTGGTATTTCGCTGACCCATCCATGACTTCCGGGTCATCCCAACCTTGCAGGCCCTTGTCCCGGCAATCACAGAAGATGATGCTGTGAGAGCTCTGCCCTGGGCTGCCCATCATTAGGCCATCCACGTGGTCCAGGCACATTTTGAGGCACTCCTCTTCCACTGCTTCGAATTGGTCGCACTGATGTCTCAAGTCCAAGGTTGCTTGCCAAACCCGACTTGGCAAGTGATTGACGCGACAGGCATTTTTGATTACCTTGCCGAGGTTGCCTGCTCCACATGCGATCACCCTCACAAAGCAGGGAGGAAGCTTGGACTCGATTTCCTTTTTTTTACCATATTTGCTTGGAGGTGCCGGTCGAGCAGGCCTGGGAGGCATCGGCTGCTGAGAACCTGAGGCTGCTTCGGACGGGGCTGCCTTTGGAGGCGGTGGCGGTGGTTTCAACGCAGTAGAGGTAAGACCATCATCCTGCTCAGGCTTTCTGGCTGTCAGCAGCACGGTTTTGCCCTCCGGGTCTGCATTTCCCAAGCTCAGCATCAACTCCCACATGTCTCTGCAAGAAATTGTTGCCTCAATGCTGTTGCGCCACCACTTCCCCTCAGCAAGTTTTCTGGCTGCATCAGCCCGATTTTCCTGATCTTGCTGTCCCCACTTGAGGTTGCAGCCGGTGAGCCTGTTCTTTTCGATAGCCACTGCCTTGAAGGCGTTGTCCGGGCAATTCGGCACAGACCATCCAGAGAAGAACTTCATTTTTGGCGCTTGCCCTGCTTTGGTCTTGGTCCTTTGCCACAAATCAATGTCTTGAAAACCCGTGGGATGAAAGGATTGGTCGTATCCTTGCAACTCAAAGAACCCTCGGTCATTGATCAAGACACGGCCACAGCATCCGAGGTCGTCTCCGCCACTGCAACGGCCACCGAACACAGGAGCGTGTCCATAGTTACCAGAGCCCGGGGTAAGACCACCAGGACCGGTGGTTTTGCCGAAATGAATAGCAATTTGCGCGGCGAAATCTGCAGACAAGATGTTGTCAGCATCCAAGTTGCAAAGGATGTGTTTCTTGTCTTTGAATTCATCCCGGAGCGTGTAGCTGGGCGGGATCCTTTGCTTCAATGCCCACAAAGCGTCAAACCGAGCTATCGGTGGAGGCGCCAGATCTTCACTAATTTCGTCGCCTTCTGACTCCCGGCCTGTGCGCCAAGCCTCCAACAAGGCCAATTTATGGCACGTGTTTTTGCACACGGAGCTGTGGAAAAACTCCCTCCTGTGCACGCTGCAGACCAACTTGCCAGATCTGAGTTCTTCTTGGCAGTTTTCCAAGATCCATTTTTTGGTTTCTTGAAAATCCCTCTCCACCTCCTGCACCAACTCGTTCGACAATGGAAAGGTGGTAAGACCAACACTAACCTTGTATAATTGGTCTTCCGTTGGCCGGAAAAGGCTGATGCAAAACCGCGTCGTCATCTCATACTTTTCCATGATGGCCAAGTTGATTGGCAGGGAAATCCTGAGTTGCCACCCTCGTCCAAAGCAACACGTGCAGAAGCTCAACATCGTGCTGAGGTCGTCTCGTGAAGAATTCTTCAACATCGAGACGTGTGACTTCAGCATGAGCTCCGGTCCAGGGGAGAGACCGCATGTTTCAATTGCTTCTTTTGCAATTTTTTGAGCCAAACGATACATTCTTGACCCCTCCATTTCTTGGCCCATGGACTCTTTTTTTGCTTCAGGCATGAGCCTTGTGATGATTCGGCCTGTCTGATCTGTGACCAGCAGGCACCCTGTCTTATCAGTGGAAACCCTTACATTGGGTTCCGTTTCAGCCTCTAGTGCATCATCGCAGCCATCGCTTTTTTTTTGCCACTTGCTTTTGCCCGTGAACATTTTCGGCGACCGGCGGGGTGGGGTGACCGGAGCTGCCTGCCCCGAAGCCGCTGGCAAGTCCTCGTCTTCGTCCTTGTCATCATCTGCGTCCCAATCGGGTTCGTCCTGGCAGGCAGACAATCCACGTGAGAAACATGGTATACACATGAATGCATGATATACAGATGTATTTGTTTTAAAACGATAACCCCAAAAAAAGGGCTCAGATGCACAAACTGCGAAAAAAACAAAACTGAATCATTATGCCAAGATTTGGCATCCCCAGAACACATGCAAGTTTGACAGGGCACTGACTACGAACGCTGTGATAAAAAAAATCCGTCACCGCCCCGGCCGGCCTTCACTTCTGTTCCCCCCTCGTCTTTCACGTCGTCGTCTTCGACCACAGGGCGAATTTGAACATGTGACATTTTTGGAAACTCAGACAATTTCTCTGGCAAAAGTTTCCTCGTGCTATCCAAGAAATGCTTCCAAGCATTCCTTGCTTCTTTGCCTCTAATGCTCACCCTGGAGCATTTGCGGGCCAAAAAGAGCTTCATCTTGAAAGCGCAACCCATGTCTTCAATCTCCGCGATGACTGGCCTCAAACATTGGTTCTTGTAGTCGCTCACGACCCAAGGGACATACGCATACACGTACTCTTTGTCCTCGTCACATCCAATGGTCGGGGCCTGCTCATGACGAAGCCTCTTCGGTTGTGACTCCTCCTTCCCTTTGCCTTTTCCGGCGCTACCCGCGGATCCGGAGGCCCATCCGGAGTAAGACTGCCAGGACTGCCAAGACCCGCTGCCCTCGCCCCACTGTTGACGACTGTCACCATCATCCCAATCCTGGCCACGCCACGGGCGCTCGGAAGAGGACCAGGAGGACCAGGACGACCACCACGACATGGCGCAACGAACACTGGATTCTGTGCTGGAGGTTATTTTCCACTATCATAAGCGGGCATTAATAGTGAAATGCTCAGGGTGCATGGTATGTGCTAAACTAAAACGGTGCTCCAGTCCATGTATGTGTTTACTTATGTCTGCCCATGCTACTGTTATTTTCTCAACTGAAAGTCAAACACATGAAGCTTGAACGAGCCCAAACTACCACGCATGAAACACTCGCAGTTTCAGCCATGTCGTTGCAAATAACGTTTTTAAAAAAACAACCGTGTCATTTATGCCACATGGTCAAATGTTGTTCCCAACCCATGACTATCCCCAATGCGTTTTTTTTTTTGGCTCGGCCATTCTGGTTCTTCAGCGCATAAAATTAAAATCTAGACAAAACTAACAGGACCGTTTTGTACACCAGGGTAGTCCGGGGTAAGACCACCAGGACTGGTAATCTGTACAAACTATACCAGGATAGTCCGGCCGGGGTAAGACCACCAGGCCTGGTGGGTTCTCTAGATGGAAATCTGCCCATTTCCTCCGAAACCTTAGCTTCAATGCCCACAGCGTTGGAGACGCCAGTCCTGACAGGGTGGCACCCCGGCAACTTACCGAAGGGGGCGTCGGTAAGTTGGAACCTCTTTTCCCTTAAAAACCTTCAAAAACATTGGAAAAACTTTGGAACCCAACGCTGTTGTCATTTTTTCCCCCTAAACCAGTCCTGGTTATGATTATGACCATCTGTTTCTTCGAACTTGGCGCTGGTCCCTGAAGACTAACACTGTGAAAAGCTTTCTTCTGGATCCAGTAGCACGTAGAGATAGTGATCCAAATGGACGGGAGTTGCCCACGCACAAATATAGTAACCGAAGAACAATCCTCGGTGTATGATTTCTATTCTTTCTGGATGAGCATCAATCGATGTTATTAAATCGTGTATCAGAATCTCACGCGACCCGGCATCCCTCCACCAGTCGATGTGTTTCCCGAACGCATCGGCCAGATCTGGGGAATAAGTTCTGAAAGCGCGAAATTCAAGCCTTCCAGGGCTTCCCAATCGCCGAAGTATCACTGGAGGCTCCATCGAAGTGTCCTAGCAAGTGACCGGGGGGCCCCACCACCAGCTACTAGCTACTGTTTTTTCAAATTCAACCGTGGAAAATATGGAACACCATGCAAAAACTGGAAGGTTAACCGCATACATGTCAACGTACTTTTTATTAGACATATGTTTTATGCCTTTCCCAACCAGATTTGCACTTATTGCGGCCGAAGGTCAAAGAAGCTGTGGCCCAACATTTGAACTCAGTCGCGCCAGTCCTGTTCAGGGAACCAGGGGGCCAACTCCCTGTGAGTTAAACCCAACGGTTTAAAAAAACAAAACAATTAAAACAAAAAAATGAAACTTGAAACCAAAAGATTTCTGAAATTGAAGTTACTGTACTTGGGGCCAGACCGGCTAAAAAGTTTGCACAGCTTCAGGTCGACTTTACTTGGGACAAGACCGGCTGAAAGCTACAACATGAATTACACCTATGCACTAACAAGCTGGTGAGGGGTAAGACCACCATCACCAGCAAAGGAAACAAAAAACTCACCGATGACAAAAAAAGAGAGAAACAACTCAAAACTGGGAGATGTTGGGCTTAACACTCACCATTTTTGATCGAAAAATCCATGTTTTTTAGTGTTTTTTTCCATTAATTTGGTGGTTCTTTGCCCTTGGCTTTGTGCCATGAATTCAGTGGACCCGATCTCTTCTTCAAATTTTTATGGGCCTATGTTATGACTCACAGCTGCTGGTTGGACAGACATTGTTTTATCAATCAATGAAACGTAGTGGGACTTAAGCGTAACATGGGCCTTTAAAAAATTGAAGAAGAAAACAACGGGACCACTGAGCTGATGGCACAAAGCCAAGGGCAAAGAACCACCAAATTAATTGAAAAAATACTAAAAAACATTGAATTTTTCGATCAACAATTGTGAGTGTTAAGCCCAACATCTCCCACTGAAACCATCCATCCAGCAGCTGTGAGTCATAACATGGGCCCATAAAAATCTGAAGAAGAGATCGGGTCCACTGAATTCATGGCACAAAGACAAGGGCAAAAAACCACCAAATTAATAGAAAAAAAACGGTAAAAATCATGGATTTTTCGATCAAAAATGGTGAGTGTTAAGCCCAACATCTCCCACTGAAACTATCGAACCAGCAGCTGTGAGTCATAACATGGGCCCATAAAAATCTGAAGAAGAGATCAGGTCCACTGAATTGATGGCGCAAAGCCAAGGGCAAAGAACCACCAAATTAATGGAAAAAAACACTAAAAAAATCATGGATTTTTCGATCAAATAAGGTGAGCGTTAAGCCCAACATCTCCCACTGAAACTGTCTAACCAGCAGCTGTCCCACTGAAACTATCTCCCAGCATCGTGCGGTGATTTTTGGGCACGCCCTGCCCCCCCCCCCGGTGAAGACCAGGAGGTCCTTTCCACCTGGTGAAGACCAGAGGATTGACAAATGAAGCGAAGAAGGGTAAGACCTTCTTCTCAAAAAATGAATCTGAAAAAAAAGTGAGGGGTAAGACCACCATCACTGAAAAAAATGTTCATGGTTCAGTGTTGTTGTTTAATAAAATTATTGTTGTTGTTCATTCATGTGGCACTGTAACAACCAGGAGTTCTTCTCCACCTGGTGAAGACCAGAGGATTGACAAATGAAGCGAAGAATGGTAAGATCTTCTTCTCAAAAAATGAAAAATATGAAAAAAGTGAGGGGTAAGACCACCATCACTGAAAAAATGTTCATGGTTCATGGTTCATGGTGCATGGTTCATGTTTCACGGTTCATGGTTCATGGTTCAGTGTTGTTGTTAGTTGTTGTTCATTGATTATCTTTAATTATTATTACTATCATTACTATTGTTATTATTGTTATTATTATATATTACTATTTATTATCATCACTTTTTAGTGTTGATTACTTCTTACTTTAATATTTCTTATTTTTGTTATGGTGATGTTTATCACATGTTAGTGAAACGAGTTAAATCAAACTAAATTGAATCATGTTCAAGTATCACCATTGTCATCCCAAAATTTACCTGCCCCACACTGGTTAAATTTAAAACCTCATAATGTTTGGGTGGCACAACCCACAGCGTCCAGTCATCCAGTCATCCTACCCACAGCTCCACCAGTTGCCCACCTTTACCACCAGTTTCCCTTTTTTTTCGGTTGGCCATGGTCGGTCTTTACGACTTGAGCAATTACCACATCAAACAACCATCCTTTTTTTACACTCTCGCTGTTATGGTCGGTCTTTAAGACTTGAGCCTTTGTATAATTCCCCCACCAGAACCACCACCCCTTTTTTCTTGTGACACTCTCGCTGTTGGCATTTAAACTTGAGCCTCAAAACTTGAGCCATCTTAGTCATAAAATCTAGATACCCTTTTCCATTGCAATTCTTGGGTCAGCTCAGCCAGCAACCAGAGTCAAACACATGACATACTTGAGCCAAGTAAGAAGTGCTGTGCCTGTCACGCAAAACATCGCGCAGAGAAGAGAAAAAACTTTTCAAACCCAAAAAGGCATATGAGCATATGAATTAACAACGCCAAGCAGGTCAACAAGCCGAGAAATACGAACAGCTTCGGCTTCGGCACCACAGAGCATCGCAAAACCAGAAACGAAGAGGACAAGAACAGAACGAAAACGACAAACGGCGACAAAACCGAAAAAGCACCTTTTGTTTGTCTAAAATATTCTGAAAAAATTGTTCGGATTTGGTCCGCCACTGCCGACCATGTTGTGCACACTGCGAAAACCTTTGAGCCACACCTTTCGCAACAAAACCGAAAAAGTCCCCTTGGTTTTTGTTTTTTCTCCTGGTCTGGCCGATTCGCTCTGAGGCTCGGTCCTTACATGAGAAGAAGCTGTTAGTAAGAAAACTGTTACATGGATGCTGGTGGTCACATGCAGCTTGGCAAATAAAAACACAAGGCAAGACGCAGATCCTCCAGCTAGATTTGCGTCTCACCATCCGAAAGACAGCAAAGCAAACAGCAAACGGTGCAAGAGCCAACAAGACTGTAGCAGCCTTGATGCAGCCACTCCAATTTACTATTTACGAGATCCAGCTGCAAAAGACAATAATAGTATTACGCATGCAGCCCGTGCCAAGTCAAGAAGAGTACCGTTCCAGACATTATCAAGCATTTTTTTTCCGTCCAACGCCTCCGAGGCTTTCGCCAGGTCGTTACACAAGCTTTAACTTGCCGGAAATTGAATTGATATGCATGAAAAGCCACAAAAGAGAGCTGGTGTGGACCTTTACATAGTCCATAAAGCTATCCAATTGCCAAGAGCGAGCACAAACCCACAAAAAAGCAAACGAAACAAAAACCACAAAAAGCAAAACACACAAAAAACAACCAAACAAACAAAACAGCACAAAAACAAAACAAAAAACAGGGCAAAAGGACAGCAATGTGCTCTTGAGATGAATTCCGATAGCAGCTTGTGTGCCATCCTTCGCGCAGGCCATCATACATCTCGACGCATGCAAATGACAACTTCTGTGCCATGTCAACGCAGGCCCTTAAACAAGAAAACAACCAAAACACCAACCACAAAATCACCCAGGGCCACATCACAGGGTGCTGAAGCAACACAGCTCAATGCGGAAACCAGGGATCCCCCCAGCCAGGATCCCGGAGATCTCAAAGAGCAGCCATCATGGCATAATATAGCACCAAAACACTTTGAAGCAAACACCGTCAACGCCGGGTCACAACAAAGTGGTGAGAAGCTACCGCAGTGAAACAGGAAGGTGAAACGTGGTCTAAGGTGAAAAAGACGGCGCGGTAGCAGCACTCAGGTACCCTCAGAGTCCGCTCAGTACTGCTTTTCCAATCATCATATTGCACCGAAATTGTTAGTGGCACTACCATGCTAGTGCTCTTGCATTGCATCTTCGTGATATGGGAGAAAATACCCACATA